TCCCAGCACAAGCTGGTACCACCTGAAGCCTGGACATTGCCATTTCATGTTCAGATCCTGCAGTGATCCTACATCCGTCAAGATAGGCATTTGGTCCATGCTGGCTTTTTACATGAGGTAGGAGGGAACTGCAAAGTTTTAGCTGTAAAGTAATACAGCTCAGAAATATTTCAGGAATATTGCAGGTATCTGAAAAGTTACATGAAATGGTCAATGAGAGAGTTTCCAACCATTCAGCTTTCAAGCATTCACTGAGTTAGACCTGTATTTCTGTGTGCAAAGCTTAAAAACCTGACTATGTATATTTATTCCATGAGCTGGTAAATTGCTGTGGGAAATGAGCAGTTTGAACTTTTCTCATCTGAACTCTCATATATTAGTCACTCTGAGCAAGACTCAGGTATGGCAAAGAGGCTTGTCACTACTGCAATCTCACATAGAGAATATGTGAAGAAAAAAGAGACAAAAGTGTGTGTGGAGGGAATTTTGCACAATTAGGTATCCTCAAAAGAGGCTGTGTTGGCCCTGCATATGCCAGAATGGAAGATCAGATGGGTTTAATAAAAGGCAAATAATTCACAATAATTTGTGTCCTATGTTTCCATCTTCTCCCAGAACAGATGCTTTCCCAGCCCATAGCAGGAAATAATGGTCCTGAAAAGAGGAGAAAGGGACAGGGGAAAGCAAAGCTCTTGTAGATAAAGCTGTTGTAGAGGCTGCTCTGGCCTGCAGTTGGACTCACCTCTCCAAACCTTTCAGAGCTAATCTGGCCAAGAGTTCAGTTTGATTAACTCATGGCGAATTCCAAAGAAATCAAGAAACCAGTTCCTGATTAAATTCAGGGGGATGGGGAAATCTGATGCTTTAAACTCAATCTATTGCACTCTAGGTATCCTGCATGTCTTATACCGGGTTACAACAGGCTAAGGTTGCTTCCTCAAGCTGTTGGAAAGAGGATTGGCATGGGATGGAGGCTGATCATAAGGAAAAGATTCCAGGGACCAAATGCCAGGCCACGAACTCTTCAGCTGAAAACAGCTAAAAGAAGACGACATCCCAGGCAAATAATTACTAAGGAGTAACAGTGTGTTCAAGTCACAGAAAGGAATTGACTGCAGGGATCCGTCATTTTACTTGACCTAAATACGCATGTATTCATTCTTTGAATATTTTATACTGCTTTGGCTTGTAGCATGCACTCCACTTCTTGCCCTGGTTTGAATGTTGTATTTCATATGTCACTTACAACAGTCTCAAGAAAGAAAATATAAGAAAAACATTTTTAAAGGAAAAAAAAGATGATCCCCTAAAAGAAAAATGAACAAAGTGGGCATTTCCATCCCTAGTATCTGGGGCACCAGATGGGGTGGTGAAAAACATGCCTGCAGGGCAAAGTTCTGCTCCAATCACTCGCCTGCCCACAGCCGACAGTTCTAATTTAAAGCACTGAGGATTACGCACTATGGAGCTACACTTTGTTAATTTATTATCCCTCATGTTAATCCGGCGTATAAATCATCACAACAGGCAAGCGCGTAGCAAAAGGTGTAGACTGCTCTGCCATAGCAAGCAAGCAGCATTAGATTAGGAGGTTCAAATATGAAGAAGCCTTTACATGTCAGTTTAAAAAGCTCCCATATTTTCTATATTAAAATATCCCATCAGCCCACTAGCAGTTTTCCAGGGACAGGGCAAAAACTGCTGCATACAAAATGGAGAGAGGGAAATTTTGATAAAGAAACTATTTTCAGTATCAAGTCTCTAAGAATTTCTTAGGATGAGGTAAAGAAAGTAGTTCAGAATTAAAGGAAAATTTTTGGACAACCACTTTTTAAATGATAACATTGAGTCAAAAGAGAAAGCTTTTTTCTTTTTTTGTAATAACTCCATGTTGTATTGGTATGCAGAGTGATGAAGCCTTCCCTTTGCCATTCAACACACAAATGGAGTTTCATATCTTTCTGGATTAGGTTTTGTCCATAGATCAGTTGGCTCACCCCTTTGGAGGTGTCTCTTTCTTCCTGCTGCCTGACTAAAAGGGAGCCTAGATGACCTACTTATGACCAAGACATCGAATTTGGTGTTCTCCAAACCTAAATGGGACACATTAGAGCATTAATGATTTACATTAAGCAGCTAGAAGAGGCAATGTGAATTCCCCTCGAGTAGTTCCCTAATTGAGTACTGTCTGTGAGCATTCATACTTTTCACATCTCGAGCAGGAGTTTTACCTCTGGTTTCAAGACAGGTGTATCTTCAGACATGACAAACTGGCTCAGAAATCACATGGAGATTTCAGAAAAGTGTGCAAAACCTGTTCTTCGAGATGCCTACTTGGAGATACTGAAACTGTGGAATGATAAGGTAATGCATAAACAAGTTACTGGGTCTACAGATAAAATGATACCGTAAGAAAACACTGCCTTGCTGGGGGAACAGTTCCTGGATGTTTCCTGCGATATGTGACAAATCAAAAGGAAACGCCAAAAACTGCAGAACCGTCTTTGTGGACAACTGGTGTGCAGCTATGTACTGAATTTCTGTCAGCTTCCGTAGAGTGTAGTAATGGCTGTGTCCACCCAAAGGTGGACATATCGTCCACCCATATGGTGTCCACCTATGGGTGGATGAATTATCACGCATATTTAAAAAGCTCTTCTCCTTGTTTGGGGAAGATGAAAACGGGAGCTCCTGCAACACAGTATGCACAAAGGAAGTATTCCACAGAGGTGCCAATCAATAAATGATGAATTGCTCTGGGCACATCTCAACTGTAACAACTGTGCTCATCTGATAGGAAGACTTTGCTTTAGGATACATCAGTGAAAGTTGCATGCACAAAATATGTGGGATCCATACAGAAAGGATGGGCAGAGGCATGTAGTAGAGAGCAAAAATAATTAGAGATCTGGGAAGTGTTAAAAATGTTTGCATATGATTAGAATAATAATAGTAAATCCATAAATTTTTAAAAGAGATTGCTTACACATAAGGCTTACTAATTGTTCTAGGGGAGGTAGATTAATGAGTAGAGTGCAGTGTAAGTAGTCGAAGGTACCTAAAAAATGTGGTTTATTTCTGGGCTTCGTGTACCACTAGTATAATACATACAAAACCATTTGACTGTCTTGGGCAATGCGCTAGAATTCCCAAGCCTAATGGTTTAAAAAAATCACTCGCTTCTTCATTACTACAGTCTCAGTCCAGTACCATTAATTTAATCATTTGCTTGCATGTTGCTGGATACAGACATTCCTTTATATCTGAATAACAACTTTCTAACTATTCATCTTCAGTTGATGAGCAGGCAATAAATAGGAGATCCACCTATCCACAGGTCACTGTCTGATTTAGCTAGGTTCTAGGTTAAAAAATTATAAGTGCATCGTCCTGCATTCCCCTGCAGATGTTTGGAGCAACAGTAACATCCAGTGGTCAAAATGTTAATTACATTATATGAGGGCATTGCATGCTTGCAGCATCTTACAACTGCATCTTCCTTGCAATAAAAAAGCAGGTGAGAGCAAGCCTTGAAAACTCAGGATCATTCTTACATTGCACAAAAGTAAACTTACACACAGTAACATGTCAGTTTTCCTACAAGGTTGGTGTGTTTTTCTTGCTCATGCCAAGTGAGATGCACTGACCTTTAAGTTTGTAAATACTAAGATTGAGACCTTTCTGGCTGGATGGATGTCAGTGCACAGGGATGCCATGCACCAGGTCATGTTATAAGGAAAGAGGGAGGATGGGGAGCAGGAGGAAGGCACTGTGGCCTTGGGCTGATGTCTGGGGATGAACCTCTGAGCACAGGACACTGCAGGGCAGCTGTGCTGCAGTGCTGTGACTCATCCCCGGCTCCAGGACCTCAGGCAGCAGGCACAGCTCAAAGCAGCACAGAAGCTATAGCTCTGTCCTCGAAACAGGATGGCAGCACTGCAGGGGGCCATAGGTGGAGTTTGACTCTTACAGTCAGGGAGGTAGGAGAGGGGATGTCCTTAGAGGAAGCAGACACCTACCTGTTCACTGGTGAGGGCACACAGTTGGGGGTGGGGTGGGGGGGGAATCTGCCTTCCTCCTCCTCAAATGTTCTTTATCTTCACCTGGACTGGAGAGTGAGAAATAGGGTCAAAATATGAGTCTCACACCGAGAGGACAATCCTTGCTTGTGCTTTGTGGACTACAAGAAACAAGTGACCTCAGATAAAGGCTCTGCATGTGCTCAAGGGCATGAGGAAAGGAGGTGAATTTCTGCTCTCACCCAGGAGAAGAGGCTTCATTAATCGCACTGCAAGTGAGGGAGCTGCCAGGTGTTCATGGGGGAGAGCTGGATTTAATCTTCCCAGCAACACAGGTACTAACCAGAGAGCTGGGAGCACATTGTCCAGTCAGGAAAACAGGACCTTGAAGACAAGGCGAGAAGACCAGGAAGTCAGAAATTTAGCAGGTGGTAGCTACAGCTAGACATCTAGGGCTAATTTTTCCCTGGAATTGCAATAAAAGAGAAAAAAAAAATTAAAGAAACAGCTTTTAGGCGGTCCAACATTCATGTCCTTGTTCTGTGTCAGCATCAGGGATGAAGAATCCCAGGAGCAAACCTGGCTGCAGCTTTATAGGTGTGCACAGAGCTTCGCCTTTCATGGACAAGGTGCTCTGGTCCCCCCAGCACCAACAGACTTGTTTTGCTGCGCTCTTGTAGTCTTCCAGTGGACCATTGCTCTGTGACCTTGAGGCCACAAAACTTGGCAGGGGCAGTTAATGATTCTCAGAGCTCCATTAACGTCTCCCTGCTCCCATGCAAACATTAGCCAAGGTAGAGGGGAACCAGCTGCGAGAGCTCTCTCACTTTCTTTTCCCTCCTCCTTTTTTAACTTTAACAGCAGAAATTTTGCAGATCATGTGCAGAACCATGCTTGCCAAAAGTGCTGGAGAGAGGAATTCTTCCTCACCATCTTTCCTGATGTGTATGCCTCCCCACAAAAATATCGTGAAGGGGTCAGATACTGAGGCATATGCGGGGAGAGCTCACCCTGAGGGCAGGTATGTTATTTAGATTCCAGTCTGCCTCACACGCCTGCGTGGATGTGCTTTCAAAATTATTTCCTTCAGGTTCATACTATCTGACATGAAATGGAGCATCTCCACAAACAACAATCTTTTACGGAAGAGCTTCTCACTGCTTCCCTGGGAATGCATTGCGAATTTTCCACCATGAATGTGCTCGGTGCGGCAATGCTGTCTGTGTTGTGCTGAGCCCTGCGTGCCACGGGATTGCTCGGTGAGTCTCGGTGGGATACATGGCACAGGTAACTGCACTCCAGTCTTTGGGACAAATTGAAGGGCTCTTCTCTCCCCACCCCACCCAACTGCTCAGGTAGGCTGTGACATTTTCAAACTGCCAGCAGACAGCTATGGGCATGGCAGCTCTTCGTGCTGTGATGGTGTGAGGGCAGTAAACGCCATTGCTTGCGTCTCAAGATCTCTCAGGTGTTTTCTCCAAGGGAGAATGAATACCACACACAGCAGGCAGATGTAGCTACATGAGCACAGGGTCGTGTGAACCTCTGGCGCATGGGCTAGTCCTCATTGCGTGGGAGCCTAAAGCACCATAACCTCTTCTTCTGTCTGATGCATGTTAACAGAATCAGCCTTCCTGCTCTTATCCTGAGGCACCCCGTCCTCTCCTGCAGCAAGCATTGAAGCCTTCTGCTGCCTCACAGAGCAAAACTTGTTTAACAACTCCTCTCTGAAGCTGAGACAAAGTGGCTGGGAAAATGAGCCGTACATGGTAGCTATTAACAGGAAGATTAAGGCAACAGAACAATACCTGTTTCAAATCATAATTGTGCACTGCATCCCACACAGCACCTGGGAAAGCAAAGGAGAGAGCTTTGCCACAGCTGGGACATGAAGGCTCAGTGACTTTCCAGAGGTTTTGATGTCCCTTGTGAAAACCTGACCATTTGGGACACATTATATGGAATCCCTACATCCCGTGGTGCCTCACATTTGGCTGTGTTATGAACCATCAGCAGGGCCTGCTGTGCTTTTGGTGCCCCATGAATATTAAACACTGGCGTACGAGGACAAGGTGCGTTCATAATATGTACGAAGGCTGTCCTGCAAATGCTTTGTGAATCCTGCGTGGGAAACCCAGAGTGTTCACAAAAGTATTCCTATAAAGAAAACACAATTTCAGTAACCCTAAAGTGCACCTACTAAAAGAGCAAACAGCAGTAAATGCGCAAACACCGATAACATGTACACTGTGGAAACAGAGAGGTTTAAATTAATGGATAAAAGTGATTTACACTGAGGCAATGGAAGTTTGGGAGAGGGCTCACAGCTGCAGTGGGCATTTTTTCTCTTTCAGACTGTGCAGGGATCTCTCATGCCTGGAGCAGCATAGGTCTGAGGGATAACAAGAGCTGGCTCATTCCAGGTTACTTAGTTTCTGTGGTAACAGTGGTAAAAATCACATCACATCCAATTCTGGAAAGTCATATCCTGAGGACACTGCACAGATATGCAAGACCCTAGAGGTACGGAGTCCTTTTCAGATGTTCCTCCCAGGTTTCTTGGTATGCTAGTATAGGAAAGCACCCTGACATGAGCATCTGGTATCTAATGGGCTGCATACTGGCTGCCTGCTGCTTTGCATTTTATTGATTCTTGGCAGAGGCTGCATTGGTTCTGAGGATATAGGACTAGAAGTCTAATTAGCAGGATAAGCGAGGGACGTCTAAGAGATCATCTGCATGAGAACTGCTCACGAAGGCAGGCAAACGGGTGGTATGTGTTTATACGCTGCAAGCTTTCTTGCCTGTTAGACACCATATTCTGAACCACGTAACAAACAGCAAAGAAAGTGCACTTATAAACAGCCATCAGAACCAGGCACAGTGTGGCGCCAGTGCTCATCACGCCGCTGCCTCCTGCCAGCGTGCTCAGCCAAGGGCAACACGGGCACCTCTCCCAACCTAGCAAAAAGGAAGATCTGGCCAGCAGCGAGAGCTCCTTGCTAGAGCCCTCTCTGAATCTGAAATACCATTTTATCTCCCCTGTGGCCATGATCAGATTCCTTATCCGATCATCAGTCCTGTTTTGCAAGCAGTTGCAGTGTCACAGGGGTTCGTGGCTTTGCTTTGCAATGTGCTCCTTCCTTGTACTTTGCTTGTTACCAAAATAAGGCCAGCAGTAAATTTAATGCCACATAGGAAAGGCTCTGCTATCAGAAGCTTCTTAGCACAATAATATTTTAACAGAAAGCAAATACCTTCCTAAGGTTTTGTGAAGGTAATAAACTAACCCAGGCTTCCTACGCTGATTTCCTACAGTAGTTCCCAGCACAGTCAAATAGCACA